CTCATTAAAACAGTCGTTCGGAACTGTAAGTCTGGCTTTTTGAGGACTCTTAATTTCGAAGGTTCCTCCTTCTTTACCAACAGTAAAGGCATGAAATTTGGGTCTGGACGCAACTAATATCCCAACGAACTTGAAATTGTTTATGGCAATATGTACCATGTGGACGTCCTATACGGGTATAATATTATCTGATAAACATATGATAAATACATGATAAGGAAAATTATGAGAATATCAGTCTTTATGCGATTTCCATTACCGTTATGTTCACACTGGGTGGAATGGCAACTTCATATTCCATGGTTTTCCAGGGTCCACCATCTAAAGAGACTTTCACCACAATATCTCGAGAGCTTTGATTAGCTTGATGTGGAATAAACACGTGTAGTGGTTCCTGAAAGTTAAATTTCATTGAGACTTTCTTTATAACTATGACACTTCATTCCTGACACAACTCACAACGGACATAGCTGATGAGTATATATGCATAGTATTTATGTATGGTTTCATAAACATTTTACCCAAAAGTAAATATAAGTTATGTCTTCACGACTTGAGAATTTTCTTGATAAATTAGTAGTCCAATTTTCTGAAAAAAAAATTGTATCCAGTGCTCAAAAGCTTCTGTATGCGTGCCTTTAAACCCCCCCCCCCCCCCACACACACACACACACAAACTTCTACCTGTAGTCTTATTGCTGATTTTGTTGACGGTTTAATTGTTACTAGTGATGACATAGGAACCTCTTTTTTCTCTGCCTGCAAATATTTTTCTCTCTCATTATTACTGTCAGATCCAACACAGGTGAGGTCTTCTTTCACTAATTCACCTTCCATGGCAAGAGCTATACAAACAACACCTTTGTGGAAGGCCGTTGCGTCATCATCTCGATAAAAGCTTGAAAATATAAGTTTCGGGAATAAGATAATTGTTTCAATGCCTATGGTTATCTGATCCTCAGCCAGGAAGGATGACTCTTTAATTTAAAATTGAATTCAAAAAGTCTCAAAATAAAGCTTGAAATTGAAATCTTTCCATGCAACAATTTTCATTTTACGCCTTTCAATGTAATTCGTGGTTCAAAGAGTTTTAGAAACGGTATTAAAATGTATTGAAATTATGCCATGATGTCATTCCTCAAACATTTTTGTTTACATCTGAAAATAAAAATGATACTCTTCAATACTCACCAATACCTGGACATGTCTCAGATATTTAACTAACCTAAACTCGTACACGGCCTATACAAATTATTGCATTCATGTATTTTCAGATGATCATAAGGGTGCTTACATCATTGGTGGCCAATTCCTCCAATTTTTCCGCCTCTCCACCTCTTCTCTTTCCTTTCTTCGTCTTTCCTCCTTTTCCTTCTCCCTTGCCTGTTTTTCTTCCCTTTCTTTTCTTTGTCTTTCTTCATCTTCCTTCTTCTTTGCCTCTATTTCTCTTTGTTTTTTATCATCTTCTTCTTTCTTTTGCGCCTCCATATCTTTGCGTTTCGTCTCCTCTTTCTTCCTTCTCTTTTCATCTTCAGCAGCCTTCTTTTTCCTCTCTTCTTCCTTTTGCTTCCTCTTTTTTTCTTCTTCCTCGGCTCTCTGTTTTCTTTCTTCCTCTCTCTGTTTCCTCTTTCTTTCCTTTTCTTTTCTCTCTTCCTCCTTTTTTCGTGCATATTCTACATCAGCGGTCTCTAGACTGTGTGCTCATTGGTCCACGTCTTGTTTCAGGGCAATAAGGCCCTCTACAGATACGTGACCATTTCTCTCCAAGTCCTTAGATATGTTGTCTACCTCGAGCATCATCTTCCTTAAATCTAGTTGCTGCTTGCTAATTTCTTGCAGAGCTTTGAGTTGTTTGAGGCTCTCGCTTTCCGTTCTAGATACTTCCTGTGTATTTTCTTGATATGAGCTTACATTATCTGAAGCTCTGTAAAAATGACACAAGATAACAAACTCACATGCATCATTTATAAAAAAAAATCATGTTTTTGAAAAACTGATGCGTGTGTAAGGCAGCTTATGACCTAGGGTTGAATTTTCTCATATGCAAGTCAAATACAAAAGGTCAAAATTGGGCATCCAAAGAAAGACCTTGTCATAAGGAATAAACCAGTGAAATATGATTATAGCTCTACTACTAACTGTTCAAATATTATACCTATGGTTAAATTCGTTTGTGTCTAACTCTAAGGTCAAGGTAAAAAAATATTCACACCTATTGAAAGATATTGTCACCATGAATACACACAATTGTATTTCTTATGACAAGGCCTTCCTTTGCTTTCCAATACATTTGAACTCTTACCTTTACCTTGGAGTGTGACCCATTTTTTCAACCTTGGCCGTAACTTTTGAAAAGTTGGTGCAAGGGATGTCCTGATTCACATGTGTTTTCATCGTCATAAGGCCTTTTTACAAGTATAAATATTTTCAACCTTTAGACCTTAGATTTTGACCCACTTTAAAAAAAATTAACCTCAATCATAAATTTTGATCAGTTGGA